GGATCTGGCATTGCCAAGAAATTTGATGTAAAGTACGGCACAACTTTGTCACAACGAATGTTTTCCAAATGATCAGAAAATCAAAGACAGGCATGACACTCTGGTACCCCGAGTTTCGCATGCGCAAAACGGAAGAAGTATCACCAGTGGGTACCCGACTAACTGTCTTACATGGCAGGATGACCGTAATACCATGTAAAATTCTGCTTAATCCACTTCGAAAGTCTGCCAAATCACCCAGTTTATATTGCTGCTCCATTGTGCAAGGGTTTGTTTTAAGGATCTTTCAAAAAATGAAGGTTTTTCAAACCAAATGTGCCATATTTCTTTCCAATCTTTTTCATTTTCCTTCATCTTCATAATTCTGCCGAAAAAATATTCTGCTGATTTTCTGTACATTTTATTTTTGTATGCAAATATTCTGTCAAATGTAGCCGAAATTCGGCTAGAATGGTCACTCCAATTTAGTAACCGCGGATAACACTAGAGAGTGTTTTTACTATCACTATAGACTGAAGCGTGGCTATAAAGCCACGTTCATGGGTATACCCGTGTACAAACTCTAAGAGACTGGTCTGAAAATTCTCAGTGTTTCTTAGAAAATAAATACTTTGGAATTTTCTGTGCTACATTTCACTTTTTGGGACATGTAACATGTCACATGTTATCTCTTTCTGATGTCTAATACAACGTTTTAAGGGAAAACTTGTGTGATGTCCAGATGAGGAACTCTTTCCAAAACTACAAGTTGCAAGCAAGAAAATGTTCTCCAAGAGTTCATCACTTAACTCTTTCAGTGCCCACGACATATCAAAAGTTTAACCCTAAAACGCCCAACTTCGAGCTTTTTTGTTAATTATTCAAAATTCTATAAAAAAAAAAGTAAATAAGTTGTAATCACCAAACTTGTTGTATCTTGCTCTCTGGTATATTCTTGTTACCTTCAAAAGTCAATATTAGTCATGCACCTAGTAATAAACCTTGAAACACTCTCTTCAACACAGGGGAATTCCGCACTTTTGCAGAATATACTTGTGTCGCGTCTGATACCCCTCATACAAACTCTGTTCATTATCATAAATATTGCCATGATTGTCACTTTTAGCACCATAATTATCATTTGTATCGGTATCCCAATGTTTGTCTTCTGACTCACCATCCAGTTCTGAAGTATCGGAAATGGATTATTCTGAATCAGAAAAGTAATCCTGTCCAAATCGGCGAAAAAATACACTGATTTTTCTCTGGAGATAACACGCGAGCTCGTTTAATGGGCGCCGCCATTTTGTCAACAAATCGAAACTCGGTGTGACGCCCTCTCACAAGAACTCGAATATAAAAATAAATACAGGTCGTATAGTCGGACTCCTTATTATATTATCGCAGCATCCCTATTATCGCGGCAGGGGAAATTTCTCTTTTTACAGTGTCAAAACTCCTTCAAGTGGCGATTTTTATCCAGTTCACCAGTCATCAAGGATTTTCTACCGAGTTGTATAAAAAGGACGATTAAAAAATGTTGTGTCTTTCGGGACTTTTAACGATTTTAATAAATATTAACGTTTTCCAAAACTTGCAAAATTTTCCCTCACCGTGTCTGCTAAAAGGTACCGTTTATATTTTAACATAAATCTTTAATTGCGCTCTGTCCATGCAAGTTCCATTGTCTGGTTCCCATTCTTCAGCTGCAAATGTAAAATGAGGTCGAACGACGATATTTGCAGCGCGAAATTGTAACAACTTTTACGGGATCAAAATAAGCACCGCGCGTAGTGAAAATAAAACGGCACACCGTGTAAAGTGAATAGCGCCCTCAATCGCCGATCAGTAGACTTGCCTCAGGGATTTGTGTTCTCCTTTCGGGGGAAGGGCAGGGTCTTAAGAAAATTATCCTGCAGACATTTTGTCTTTAATCAACTTGAACTTTACAGGGAAAATATCAGACTTTATTCAGGGGGTGTTTTGGTCAAACATAAACTATGAACAAAAAAGTTGGGATCATTATAAAAACCACTTCCCGCATACCGCGATAATAGGGGGTCCACCTCCGTTCGCACACGCTGCGCATGTCTATTTTCACAGGCATCGTACACGGAATAAACCTCACCACACGTCAGATTTTTTTTATATTAATTTAAAAAGGAAGAGTTATACTACACATAAGACAGGACAATTCTGGAAGGTTAGTGGGCAATCTCTATTCCGAACGAGAAACGTGATAAGTACCGCGATAATACGGCGTTCCATCCTACATGCATATTGGTACCATTAGAAAGAGCGAGAGCGCCCCCTTTTGATAACATGTTACTCTACCTCGTACATGTACGAGGTTTGGCGATTTTAAGCACGAACATTACCTCGTACATGTACGAGGTTGGCACTGAAAGAGTTAATGGAGTTTCAATATAAAAAAATGAACACCTTTGCTGATCAAACACATGTATGCAGTCACAGTAAACGTCTTAAAGTCAAATAACTTTTCATTGACCCGCTATTGTAAAACAGCTGAGGCTACTTTACTTACATGGACGATGGCATGTCGTGGGCTCTCCACTGATCTCTATATAAAGACTGGATAGCTAATAAAGAGCCGCACAATGTACGAATTTGACGCCATATTGGTGAGACCGGCTGGTGATCTACAAAGGACAAGTTGCCGTCTTTATAGACAGCATGATTTCTTTTGTAACGTCGCGGTTCACTTGACTTATATTTTGGCCACCACCACTGACCAACTGACCAAGGTTTTATAACTGGATTTTTTCTAACGTCGTGGTTAGTTTTATAATGCCGCAAATCCCTTTTTCGGCGTTTTTGAAATAATAATCACTACGGAAATGTGTCCCTTTTTGAACATCATAATATGTGTACGTGACCAAAATGCGCGTCAACTGTTGATACAACGCGCGCGTATTTACGCGTAGAACGTTCGTTTTATACGCGGCCATCTTCGTGAGACCGGGGGCGAATTGGTCAATATGCAAAGTCTACTGTGTGAATGTTGTATGCATATCCGCTATCCAGTCTTTATATAGAGATCAGTGCAGTGGGGCTCTCCCAGCCTGGGCTAAATCACTAGGCCAACCTTCCACAGAATGGTCGCTACAAACTCCTTCGTGGGCTTTTGGCTCAGGCGTCTCCCCTACCAAGTGCCCGCACCCATGCTGCTCGTAATACCTCTTATTGGTTATGGAGGAAAAAGGACGTTGCACAAGAGCCCTTTGCCTTTCGGTTAGAGCATCCCAGAACAAAACAGCTCGTCATCGTGAGAAAAAAGCGTAACACTAACAGCTGGAGAATGTAAACAAACGTTTCTCTAGAGGTTTAATTGCGGTAGCACCATGTGGAAAATCTCTATCCGAAACGTTGAGCCCCAACCGGTCTCTTCAGAACCTAGTTACATACTCACAAAAGAGCTTTTCCACATGGTGCTGTTCGCTCGGCCGCCGCCCTGCAGACAGGACGCTGGGATACTCTGATGGGCTTCACAGAATCTTGTGAAGGAAGTGGCCAATGACCTATGTATAAAGCATCTGGCTGCAGCTGTTCAAGACCGCAGTTAGACAATGTGCGCACATGCTATCCGAAAACTTTCAATAGAATTGCGCACATTCCATACCGGATGTGATTTCTGTTTCATTGCGGACCATATGGACACAATTTTGAGCGTCGCATAATGCAATCCGGCCGTTCGTGATTCGAAAACGGAGCCTGAGCGAGTGACGGGAATTGTACATTTACAACACAGATAAGTTTTACAAAACTCCATGCGATTGTAAAGCTTAGTAAACAACCGCTAAATACCAGTCACAAGCAATGTACATTGCATGGAGTTTTGGCTGATAACCTAATTTTACTATGCAATGTTTTTTCGTGTTTAAGCAAATTTTGTGCTTAAGCAGCTCTATGAAATTGGGCTGGGCTAGGGCGCGGCTGGGGGTACGAGTGAAATGGTGCTACCGCAAACCTCTAACCATATGTGCGCATGCGCATGTATAATTAGCATAATGGAAGGACAAACGGGTCACCTGGATACCAGCGTGAACAACGGTTCGCATACGTACGTAAATGGTGCCCTGGTATCTGGTCATTTCTCATCAAGGGGAATTCCCTTTACACATCTCAATTTGCGTGCAATGCTGTGTATGAGCTAATAATGTCCAGAGCATTGTTTATTCGAAACAGGGTAGTTCTATGGTTTACTGAGGCTAAAAACAAACATCAGAAATTCCAAAAAAACCGGCCCTATAGTAATTCCATCTGCTCCTGCCATTGTGACTCAATTTAAAGTTTGGCTCCATGATAAAGTGGACACATCACACATTTTGCTCAATGGTCAGGCCCAACAAGATGGTGTTCAATTGAACTGATCTTTGGCTTTCATTTCGATAGTCATGCCCCAAACATTCAGAGCACACACGATTGCCCTCAATTTTTTCCCCAATAATACTTGATTTTCACAGATTTTCACAACCTAATCTAAACATAAATTGGTCAAAACAACATTAATTAGTCATGTGGGACAATATGGCCTTAAATTATACCAAATGATGTCTTACATGACTAATTAAAGTTGTTTTGACCAATTTATGTTTTGAGTGTAAGGCCAAAAAAAAAATAAGTCGGTCTCTGGTCAGCGCGCGCGTCGATTTTAATCATGCGCGTCGATCTTTTTTTTCTCCAAAATGTTCCGCGGTAGCTCCAACAGCGCCCTCTATTTCTGCACCTCCTCAATTTTTTTTACCAAAGAGCACCAAGGAATGGGAAATTGCACCAAGGCAAATGATCGAAAGCACCAAGGCAAATTATGGAGGACACCAATGTACATAAGGACACCAAAAAAGCAAATAGTACCCCACCTTGTCTGTACAATCCAAGCTTGAAGAAAAGAAAAAAAAGCCAAAAAAAAAAAAAAAAACGCGTGGCCGCGACATTCCCGGAACTTTGTTCTGACCAGAGACCGACCTATTTTTTTTTGGCCTTACTTTTATTATTGGATATTTGACTCATTGTACTGACTTTGCCATCCCTTTACACAATGTTTCAAGTTGACCTTAAAAACTTTAACTAGACTTGTGCAGAATCACAAAAGGCATAATTGTTTAACTTGATGAATTATTACTATTATTATCACTAAAACAGTAGTTTCACAAACGGCATAATTGTTTAACTTGAACAATTATTACTATTATTATCAATAAAACAGTAGTTAACAGTGTGAAATCATTAGGTGCAAAAAGTGAGTGACCGCCCCGTAAAAAGAGATTCTTTACATGTCAGAATCATGATTCTTCCCTTAGGCCTATAGCCTTCATGTGCCAAGTATGGATGCAGGGGGTCAACTTCTCAGCTCTGAACAAGGTAAAAAAAAGAAGGAAAATCAGGTAAAAAATTATAAAAGTAAGGCCAAAAAAATATATAAGTCGGTCTCTGGTCAGCGCGCGCGTCGATTTTAATCATGCGCGTCGATTTTTTTTTTCCAAAATGTTCCGCGGTAGCTCCAACAGCGCCTTCTATTTCCACACCTCCTCAATTTTTTTCTTAACAAAGAGCACCAAGGAATGGGAAGTTGCACCAAGTCAAATGATCGAAAGCACCAAGGCAAATTATGGAGGACACCAATGTACATGAGAACACCAAAAAAGCAAAATAGTACCCCACCTTGTCTGTACAATCCAAGCTTGAAGAGAAAAAAAAAAAAAGCCGCGTGGCCACGTCAATTCCGGAACTTTGGTCTGACCAGAGACCGAATATTTTTTTTTTGCCTAACTGAAGTAAGTGCACCAGTAGCATTGTAAACAATGCACGTCATAAATGATTTATCAGCATTATTTCTGCTTTTCCAACAAAATCACACATTAAAAAGTACCTCAGCTGGCCTGACCCCCCCCCCCCTAAAAACTCCTCAATCCACCCAAATACCCTCAAAACACCAAACTTTTTGATGGATTAACTTTTCCATCATGTTGAAAATTCTATAACAGTGTTGAAAAACAAACACGCACCACTTTGGATTTTGCCCCAAGTTGTATTTTCTAAATAACTGCATACACCCTGTACATGTATGCCCTAATTTAGTTTACATTTTTGTACACGTAACTGAACTACAAAAATGTAGGAAACTGAACTTGACCAAAAATTAAACATGAGTAAAGGCACTTTCAGCAAATCATCAGACGCCAAAAAAATGAAGCCGCACCCCTTCCCTTCCCCAACCTTCCCTCTCCATCTCCATCAAAACAAAGGGAAGATACACAGACAGTTCCTTAGGGAAGCACCAAAAGCACTTTCAAAACTCAAAATAGATTCAGATTCTGTTTTTACTAATTCCATGTAATAGAAAATAGTACAGTTTGCTGAAACAAGTGACAAATTTTAGCTTCACTTTCATTATCATCGATTATGTCACATTTATGTGTACTTTAATTTAATTAAACTACTACAAACCTCCCATGTGGTGGTGGTGCTGACATAGATTGCTGTTGGTGTGCTGTGGCAGTGGATGTGGGCATGGATGTCTTGGAGGATTTTATTTCCAGTTTCTCCTTGAAGCCTCCCCGGAGTACCAATAATCACACCTTTAATAGTAATGTAAAAAACACATGTTTACCATGGTCCTCATAACATCTGTAAGTAATGGGCAGATAGAACCATCAAATGAAAACAATTTCAAACATGTGTAGGCTAAGGAGGATGAAAATTCTTTGGTAACCAGTTAACATCAGTCTGCAAGCTCCTACAAATAAGAGTGTCATAATGCAGCACACAAAGTTTGACATTTTTTGTACAGGGATTTGCAGAAAGATACAACATTTTAGTGGTGTACAAATTCACAATGATAAACTTCAGAATATATGGCATTACCTGGCCAATGTCTAGTAAAAACAAAATTTTGCAACAAAAAACAAATAAAACAAATGGTTTAACAGAATTTGTGACATACTTATCAATGGTAGTAATAATGTCCAGATGTACTGATACTCAATTATACATTTTCCTACCTCCGTGTTCTCAGTTATCTCATCATGAGGCCGCAGGATGATGGGTCCTGGATATGCTGGAGGCTGTTCCTGATCCCCCATAAATTGGTCCAGTACAATTTCCAAGGCTCTTCTAGTGGCATTAAGTTCGGCTTGGTTTCTATGCCATGTATGCCATAGACTATGGCACCGAAGACTCAAACATACGGCCACCAGAAATAGTAAGGAAATTTCAACTAACAAACACCAAAACAGGACTTTTTCTTGAAGTGTAACCATGTTTAGTAGGAAAATCCTTGTTGCACTGCGGTACATACAACACATGCACTGCGCAAAGAACAGGTCCGTCTACAAAACTGGTGACCAGCAATAAACCGCTTAGCTTCGCGCGCGTCAGATGAGTCCAACGCCTACTGACAGAGGTCGCCAGGGTGACCGTAAGATCATGGCAAAATTCTGCTCGGTGCACTTCAAAAATCTGTCAGATTTATCAAAACCTGCCGAGTGCCATGAATTACTCGAAATACACTATAAACACTTAAAATCACATGCAGATGTTGTAATATTGCCTTAATTGTGGTTCAAATTACATTATAAACAATTTAGAGTCCTATAAAGGTGTTATGAAATTGCGTAAATTTTAGTCGAAACGTGGTCAAAACGAGGTTGCCTCACGACAAAATCCGATTCCAAGTAAACCTCAGAACATCGACAAGGCAACCTGCCCTATTTTGCGATGGTTTGTTGGTTTTGCTATGTTTTTTCTATCAAATAACAATTTTTGCAGAATTCTGCCAAAAATCTGCCAAGAAAATTCATTCTGTCAAATTTTCTGTCAAACTCGTTAAAAAAAAAATTCCGTCAAATTTAGCCGAAATTCGGCTAAAATGGTCACCATGGAGGTCGCCAAAATCTCTCATTAGAAGCATGTAGAGTCTGAAAAAGCGATTTTTCGTGAACAACTGGTCAGGTGTTCGCCAATTTTGCCTAAATTCAAATCACTGTTTACAGTTGGCCAAATTAACTGTTCTTGTAATAACGGGCATCATGTACCAAAACCAAAACAATGGTACCGGACACATTCTTTGACTAAGATTAATTATACCATCCCTCCTAGTTTGCCCACTATTATAAAAAAACAAAACATTTCATACATGGGTAAAATGAATGAATGAGCAAAAAAAAAAGACAAGATGCATTAATCCTATACCGCCATCATGACGGCATAACTGGCATAACTAGCAGGGCTAGTATAAAACCCACGGGTGCAGGCTGGGGGGGGGGATGCGGGGATGCGGGGATGCGGACGCACCCCCCCCCCCCCCCCCCCCCCGCTTCCCGCCAGCAGAGTTCCGTTTGAGGTGTTCATATTTTTATTTTTATTTTTTAAACCAAACTGCAATACGCTATTTTATTAAGGTGAAAGTACGCGTGGATTTATGATACACGATGACCAAACAGTAATAGCAAGTACATGTATCTGGGGGAATCGGCTTTTCACGCGCGCACTTGCCTTCCTCTTTTTTGGAAATCGCACCGGGGGGGGGGGGGGCAAACCAACCTACGCCCCTGATTTTAACACTTGATAAAATACATGAACCTAAACAACTGGCTGGATGAAAACGTCGTTGATTATCCATTATTGAAATCTAGGGTTTTATAATTCGAAAAAGGTGGACACATTTTCGAGGGATCAGCACTGAACGAAATCATAATAGTTTTAGACCTATTTTTCAGTCCTGATTTTCAGGGGTTGTGCCCGGCAGATGGGGACTTGGGTTTCCGCTTGGTAATGCACGTATACCTTCTGCAGGCTCCTCCTGATATTACGTCACTATCCATCCACCCTTCTTTGTTTCTAAGATGGCGAGCCTAATTCCATTTCTTCTTGTTCTTCAATTTATGTGCTTTTTTTCTCAAGTTTTGATAACTAACGATGTGATGATTCCTTCCACTGCCCTCTCGTAAGAAGGCGTGGTTCTACGGGGGTTTTAGCCCCCCCCCCCCATTGTTGTCCCCCCCCCCATGTGCAATATGAAGTTGAGTTTGACAAATTTCACCCAAGCTAGATGGATCCTGTTTATCACTCCCTTTGCCGTTTCGTTTTCCTATGGCATTGGACAAATTGCCCGGTACCCCCCCCCCCCCCTCTCTATGGTCGCCATGGACCGGACTGTGACGGTGTAGTCTTTCAGCGTGCTACGGCATTCAAAATCTCAGATTTTCACTGTTAGGCATCATTTTCCAGCGTGACTACACGCTAGTGCCTTGTAAGCATGAGATTAGTCACATCATGATAATAATTTTATTCTGGGACTATTATGTATTGGGATGATGACCTTTGTTGCATAAGATCATTCGGAAGGTCATTCTATTCCTGATCATTGCTTTCGTCTGCTTGATGTTTGTTCTGGCGTCTGCAAAGGCGTAGATTCAGGGAATCGGTAGCTTAGGTTCAACCAGAGAGTGTCAACCGAAGAACAAAGAACGATATGGCCGGAGGTCAGAGCTGCGGTTTCCAAATGAACTTTATTCCACGGTGAACTGTAAAAAAGTACACAAAACCTTATAAAACACTTTGATCCATGTTTAAGATGAAGAAATGCGTATAAAACACTTACTAAAAGCACTAAAATCCCTTTAAAATGAGCAGTTTATATAAAATGAGGATAAACCTTAAATACAAGGATCGCTCCACCACGTGAATGGGTAACCTATCGGAATGGAGCTCTTTCAGGTTTCAAATACAGGTATTGCTCACATGAGTAACTTCCAAAGTACACGGAAATCTAATTATCTATGAGTAACAGAGTGACTAGTACTAAACACTATTAGAGAAAACTACGGCAGCAGATTTAACCATAAACGTAGCTGAGTCGAATCTAGATGGTTTTTAAGTCCAACAACAATAAAGAATGTAATAAATCTACGCACGTGGAAAATATTGACTCAGCAGAATTATCTCGAAATGACATAGAAATACTGAGAAACTTACATGACTGTGGGGCTAGATGAATCTACAAATGACTAAGGTGACCTGCAAGGATTACACAATGACTGGAATCGGACGATTGACTGAGATTTCTGAGAGAAATCAGGCAGAATGTCAGGCTAAAATGTCTACCTTGACAATGCCGTTCGTGAGGTGAGCGGAGACCGTAAAAACTGAACAGCGCCCTCGGGCGGCTCTCCGGGTAAGTGACGACGGCCGTGACAATGTTCATTCTAAGTCCCGCCCACTCACTTTCGTTTATAAGTTTACGGATTACTGCCTTTACTTTCCCAAGGCTTGTAGATGTCGCCTGTGTAACTAAGATGAACTTGGTGTTTACCGTCGATTTTAAGTCGCGTTGAATAGTACCACTACCAATCAAGGTTTCAAAAGTCATTTTCCATAGCTGCAGTAAAAACATGTAAAAACGACTAGGTAGACGATTGCAGGCGCTGCAAATTTTGAAAAAGATGAATGTGGACTGTGAACATCTAAAAATTCTCATATAAGTATCACTTTTCCGTGAAATTAATCCCTAATGTTTTTTTCCGGGATATTTTATGGCCCGTCCACTGAGCATTAACAATGGTTTGACAGCCCCATTGTTGAGATCACCGGGTTTTTACTGATCGTGTCGCAAAGGATTTCTTCGAGGGGTATTTCACGGATAGGTAATCCTCGCCCACGTGTTGAAAAAAACGTGAAAATATCGGTAATTCGGTTCATATATCGGTAATTCGGTTCATGGTAAATCTAGAGAAAAGTGGTACTTTTACTAGAATTTCACGGATATGATGTTCATAGCTATCTTTTGCCTTATAGGGTACCCTTCTTTCCTGAACAATTCATTCACATTTTTTATGTCGCACGCGCAGGGTCAAAGAAATCGTAGGGATTACGTCAAGCGCAATACTGAATACCTCTTCTGTTTCATTACTCAGACCTTATCATTGATTCTGAATTATGAACTTTGATTAATGAATAATAATGAATGTAAAACCTTGGTTTTGTTTTCGACAATCAAACCTTCGGTCAAGTAAACCCAATTATAAATTGGAACTATAGGCCCTACCAAACCTTCAGAAATCTTCAGATTACTACATCGAATGTTTGGATTACCATACCCTATTCAATTTTTTTTTTTGGGGGGGGGGGGGTAATAAACCCACATTCTGGTACATTTGTGCATTTAGACTATCAAGCATTTGGCTCACCGAACTTTCGGACAATCAGAACTTCGGACTCGGGTGGACCACACCCTGGCATCTCCCGGCCGGCCCACCGTCGGAGGATCGTACTTACCTTCAAGAGAGGGCGCTCTAACGGTTTCGAAGTAGCATGTCTACTAGGGGCGGAGACACGATCGACCGCGCGCGAGCTACACATGTGGGTCATTCCATGTCAGACCAACGCACTTTTTTACCTCATGTCTTCCGATTTTGATAAAAATTGCTGTGCTTGTAGGTCCTAATGAGCAATGAATACACACCAATTTTTAGCCCGATCCGACCTACCATGTGGTCAGGGCAGAAGCCACAAAAAAATGGCATTTTTGGAGTAAAATACCACCCTTTTGGTATAAATATATCAAAACTATGGCAATTTTCATCAAATATATGTGAATTTGGTATTAAAATAA